AAATAAAGTTGTCGCCTAGATTAGAAATTAAATAGAAATTAATGAAATTATCGTAATGGATTCTTTCTTGATCAGGTGTCAATATTGAAATTCTCACAGTTAACTTCAAGACATTTTATAACAATCAGTTAGGGGAACTGATATTCCCATCGTGGGTCAGAAAAAGTTTAACCTGACTTTTCTATTTCGCAGACGCCGCAAAAAGAAAGGTGACAGAAGTGTAATCATTCCAGAAGAAGCGTTCTCAGTAGATGAGGAATACCTTCCACATCTCGAGGAGATCAGAATCCAGGATGAGCCCCAAACTCTTCGAGACTCCTCTTCTGTTTCGTACGAGTCTGAATACACAAAGTTTAAATATTCCATGGGTGGAAACATCAAGTTATACGACGATCATATCGCTTTAACAAGCCCCAGGAAAAAGTTGATAAAAACCCCGAAACGTTCTTACAAAATTCTTGACGAAACCATGCAGAGCTCGTTAAACACCTCACCAGCCCGAAGTGTCTTGTCCGGGACTTTCGGGAGTATGGATATGACACCGAGGATTTTAAACGCTTCCGTGAAAAAAGAACTTCATCTCAACGCATCTCAGGATCGACTCTCGGAGAAGACCACTGAAAGTAAAGTTGAAAACGAAAAGCTGGATTCGAATTCGCAGATCCGCGCAGCTTTAGAGCGTTTAAAACTTGCTGATAGTAGTGGAACAGCTCAAGTTTCTAAGAGTAACACTGCTTCTTCGAGTATCGCTGACAGCATAGCAAAAGTTGACTCGTGGAAAACGGATTTCGATTATTGCAATAGCCCTTCTCATGTAGTTGAAGACATTAAGGATTCAAGAGTCCAGGATACGAATTATGCATCAACAGTTTCGGACTCGACACTTCAAACACAACAACGTGAGAAAACATCTTCTGGGAATGGCGCCAGAGCCAGGGACTACTCTCCTATCCGCTCGACGCCGGCGAGTGTTCCTATCTCAAATCTGAAAGACGACATTAAATCTAGCATTGACCCTAGCATATACAGCTATAGTCCAGAAATACCTGCGGGGCAAACTAAGGACGAACCTGAGGCTAAAGAAAATGATGTTTACTCGAGATTTGAAGCCGGGAATAAGAATTACGAACCGAAAGTAGAAGAAGTACAAGATCCAGAAAGAATGAACCGATATAACAGAACATTACTTTACGTCAATGAACAAAATGAGACTCTTCAAAACGGAGATTATAACGAACTAAACATAGATTTATCAGACTTGAGTTCGGACGTGTTCACGGATAGCGAGATACCAACATCCGGGTTTTTATCTCAATCACGTGACGGCAAGAGTGACTTGGATTTCTACCCAGACTCCCCCACAACCGAGCAAGCATTCTCCAAGACACCTTGCAGCTCCAGAAAGAACAGCTTGGAGTCGTACATGTCTGATGACAGCATGTCCGTTACTGACTTGGATATCAATACGGCAGGACATAAAAGTAAGTTAATGTTCAATAAGAAAAAGCCTAATCTGAAGAATTCATGTGGTCTGCATTAAAAAGTTCCTGTAACCTCAAAATGGATCTTTGCGTGTCTGGTTTCTTTTATTTCCTGCTATCTCTCAAGCTAGAACACGTATAGTTTCTGTTCCTGTTGTTGCTAACAACCTAGTGAAGTTTCAGCACACAGGAGAAGTCTGGTTTTACCAGAAAGCATTGAGAGTTAAATAAGGAACTACATTTATTGCAACTTTTCAAAGCAAAGTAGAGAAAACGGTGGAAAAGAATCGAGCATATCATGTGTATCATTGGATTTCGGGTGAGAGAAGCCGGTTAATAATCAATTTTCTCATCAGACGGTTTAGTGCGCGGTGATTGCTGCATCACTCTCAACAGTCATTTGGTTTTTTAACAAGCCTTTAGCTTGGAAAGATACAGAAAAGCAGGAAGTCGAAAACGCTACTCACAAAATACACAAAGTTGTTGTCCCTGGGTTACAGATGCTGTGATGTTTGTCTTGTCTTGTCATGTTTGAAAATGAGAAAAATATCGCCTGAACGGCATCTTTCGATGGTTATATTTTTTCACAGAAATACACAAGCTGGTCCCGAATGGTGCAATACATTCAAATTCACACGCAAAACAAAATGGCAAAGCAAAACAGGTAAGTTAGTGCTGTCAAATGTGATTCTGCACCTAAAATTCAACTCTGAGAAGAGGGTCTGAACGGGGTTTAACCAAAGGCTGAGAATTGGTCAAAATCTTAACTCTGCTAGTTAAGAAATGATCCGTTTGTAACTAATAGTGGAGATCTGAGATTTGCTGATAGTTGAGAAATGGGCTAAGATTTAACAAATAGCTGAGAAATCACCGACAATTTGACTGAGATTTCAGCACCCCTATACCGACATTCTGGGAATGCTCACCTAAACACGCTTGGAATTAAAAAGGAAGCTCTTCAGTTTTAATCACGAATTGCATTATGATTTGTCGCTTGCTTGTTCTTGCCAAAGAACGTCAAAACACCGCTAGTTTCTTGCATTTGTGAGCCAATCAAAACTAATCTCGTCAATAAGAAGCCAGTCGTCTGAGTGAGTCATACTGCTTAATAAGTACATCTTTACCAATTTACAAACCACGACTGTTGCATTAGCTGGTAAACATGTTTGAGGCAGCTTAACACTAAGTCAAAATATCCCCAACTAGTGGCGACGTCATTTCAAAACGCTGCTCTCTAACAGGTGTTTTCTATCGTCTTTGCTTATTTTCGTCGAATTTCTTCTAGCCACAACAGACTAAGACCAAACCATCGGATGTAAAAGCGACGATTGGATCGACGCAAAAACTGAAAAATAAACCAGGTACGTTACTTGAATCTTAATCCGATTTGGGAATTCCTTACCTTTTTTAATATTGCGCATTTGTTCTATTAATGACAGGTGGGGTAAAAATTGAAACGAAGAAGATCGACTTCAACAAGAAAGCGAAACCGAAAGTGAATTCTTTTGGCAACATTGGACATGTACCAGGTGGCGGAAGAGTAAAGGTAAGGTGTTCCAAGATTTTTCATTTATTTTTTTCTTAATTTCCTCTGATTGCTCATTGAGACCTGTTTGCTTGTGAATTGACTAATAAAAGATGACTCACAAACCCTCCAGTTACTAGCTAAACATGTTTTGCAAAACGAAGTTTAAAAGCTGAGGTTAGTGGCAGAAAACTGCAAGTCGATGATGGAGACGTCGAAATCTGTAAATCTCGATTTTAAACATTTTTCACTTCTTGACTCTTTTTCTTCAGCAAAGTCTACCTGCGCTCGGGACGTCAGGGCTGCTATTAAAGTCGGTGTTGCGTTTCCTTAGCTCAATAACTAAAAACCACTGATTCAAGGGAGCTCTAAATTATCAGAGCAAAGCCAAGAAGGGTGCCCAAGACAATTGGGTGAGGGTCACAAATAAAAACTTGAAATATCGCCGATTATCACAATACAACAAAAATTCTCAAACCTAATTGATTATCATCAGGCCCTACTGTTATCGGGGCATCAAGGGATTCTTTAGTGGTCTCCGGATTGTTTCAATTATTTGTATGATTAAGACCGAATCGGACTCCACTCAGAACTACTACCATTTCGTGTCAAAGTGATTATATTTTGACGACTGAGATCAAGGAAATCCACGCGTTAATCATTTCCTTTATAACTTGTGTAAGCTTGCAGACTAGTACTCTGAACATATAGAACGACAACAGCTGTATAAGCACAGTATGGTATTTTTTTTTATCACAAAGTTCAAACCTTTGTTTCTAACGCCTTGTCTTCTTACCAGGTTCAAACAGATAAAGTGAGTCAAAACAGACGAGTGGAACCCAGAACAGATACTCATGGAGTTCAGGCTTACAGTCATTTACCCTCCGAGTTTCAAGAGATTGCAAAACGTCTCGCCAAACAAGACAGACAGCTTCGAAATTCCAAAATCAGCGGCAGCAGCTCAAATGGCCGAAGCCGTCCTCGATCGCGGCGATCAAGCCATGGATCAAGTGGAGCAGGTAGCCTCAGTCCCGACCGGCGGTCGGGTTCCAAACCGAACTTCCGGTTCGGAAGACTCTCGGGCTCGTCTGTCAATCTCAACTCCCCAACCACAAGCATTGGGCCGAACTCACCTAACAAAGCTTCCAGGCGTGCCTCGATAAACAGGTCACCTAGTATTCGCTCCAGGCCCACAACACCAAGCCTGAGTCGCTCGCACCCAGCTACCTATGTCACGCCATACGACTCACGGTCACGCCCTTCCTCGAGACCGTCCTCAAGACCAAACTCACGTTCCTCTTCTCCAGTACCATCGCGTAACACGTCGCCCACGAATGGAAGGCGTGCAACAGGGTCCTCCTCCGCTCCCAACTTCCGAAAATCATCGACGTTAAACCGAACTTCTTCGAGTTCTAATCGATCAAAAACGAGGCTGTCGAATGGAATGGGAGGACGACCTACAACCTTGAATGGACTAACAAGCGTGGAAATTGGTCTAGGTACGTTCTAGTTTCTGTAAAAATACTTACCAAACAAAAATTTCAAAGTTTTACACATTCTGTAACTGTCCTTTATCCCCATCAATGCAGAGTAAAGAACTCCATACCTTGGTTCAACCTCGTCCCCAGGGCCTGGGCGACAAGATGAGAGACCTGGGGAACGAGGTTGACCTTGGCCTAAATTATCTACAGTTTTTTTGTCGGGTTTTAATGTACCAAAACGGCAGTGTTAAGGCAGCCACGCCTAGTGAATAATCAGTATGTATAATTGTGCAATGTCTGATCGACTAACCAATAATGCTCAATTATGAGGGGTAAATTGCACTGCTATTTAAATTTCAAAATATATGACGTTGTGAATGATATTTTCCAATTTTTTTCATCTACAGCGTCGGGATCTGTATTTCAAGTGATTCCAGTCCACAAATAGAAGAAGTTAGATGATTCCACCAAACCAGAATTCACGCTGCAGTTCTTAGAGTGCCCCTGAAAGATAGCTTGAAAACCGTCAGCATGTGCAAATTGCGAATGTGTGTTTGAGCAGAATGGGTATTTCTTTAAATAATTGGTGGTTCTTGTAACGATTTTTAATAGCTGCTGGTCAGCTGGAAAATTTTATTGACTGTAATGTTCCCTCGTTTCCACTCCGCTCGAGTCTCCCAGCATTCAAGACACGGCACAATAGGCGTGGAAACTAGATATTTGAACGACAAGCTCACTAAAGAGCATTAATCGGAGAAAGATGTTGATTATACTAGCATCCACGAAGCTGGCCTAAATGGTCGAGTATTGTGCTTTCGACGGGTTCTCAATGAATCGCAAGAGATGCGATACTAGAAAAGTGCAGCGTTTTTCCTAACTGTCAAGTTAACCCAGAATATTCATCCACAATACTGTGAAAAATGGTGAAAAATAATTCTAACTGATCATTAGCTACTTCCAATGGCAACAAAAAGAAATGCGAACGTTGAAAACAAGAGAAGTTTTAAACTTTTTCTCGATTACAGAATGTACAATAACGTCCTAGTGAGGGTAAAGTGTGTACTGGCTTACGAGTTCTTGTTCGCTCCAGCCAATCAGATCACACGTTCTATCAACATTGTGCTATAAAATTGCCGAGAAACCTTGAGAAAGTAAATTTAGAAGAAATATGACTACTTTTTGGCAGAAATAATCGAATATTAACGATTGTAGTTAGCTCGCTTTTCAATCGAGTTTTTGGTATATTTTGAGCTTATTGCTGTGGCAAATAATTGCAATAATTGTAACTGAGATCAAATATCGTTACCTTCTCTAACGGAATTTTGTAACATGCTTGAATAGGAACGACGATTCTAAAGGTCGCGCCACGTAAAAGTGTTAAAAAAGAGTTGTGTATCGAAGATAAGACAATTTTGTAAAACAAAAATGTAGAGTAACTTTTTCTGTAATAAACCAAGTGACCACATAAAGTTTGTTTGATGACCTCTGTTAATTTTTTTTGGCCGCAGTTTATTCCGTTTCGCTGATAAGCCCTGTCCAAACAGGAAATGTTGGGCGATCAGAGACAATCAAACCTCGTTTAGGGACCAAACGTTTTCCCGTTTGGGCACTTTGTTTGATTTGTTTGATCGTGTTTGATAAAATTATACCTATTACAAACACTTGATCAAACATAATAAAACCGTTTAATTTTGTCCATTCGAACATGTTCGAAACCGTTTGGTCACTCAATAGAACATAAAATTGTTTGGTCACCAAACAATACATCATGTTTGATCGCCAAACATTTTCCCGTTTGGACAGAGCTTATTAGAGAACACCAAAGAACAATTTTGTCAGCTTTAAGTACGAACGTATTACAAAATACGAGCTGGAAAAATTTTCTAAAGGCTTACATTTTTTTATACATTTAATGCCCGGATTTAATACTCTATCTGTGACGAACTTTCTTCAATTTCTCTCACAAAATGACCTTTTTGGGGGGGGGGGGGAATATTTCAAAAAATTGAGATTAGACTAGTAATGACTTTGCTCCTTTGAGAAAAGAGAAAGATAAAACTTGTTAATTTGATTTAAAAACGCTAAATTATGGATCATAGAACTTGAGAATCCACCAGTTAAAATTGTAATGATTAATGATGGATTAAAAAGGAAACAATATTTAAAATGTGCGATGAAGTTTGCCTCAAATTTTTCAGTTTTCATATCTTGCAAAGCGATTTTTTCGAGATAAATTACTTTTGTCAAAATAATTTGTCTTTTATTTTTACATCCCTTTAAACATAGTTAATAGAGGGGACTGGTTATGAAGCCCGGCAAACATCAAATGAGCAAACAAAGATGGCAAGGTTTATGTTGCAAGGTCTACGACCGTGAACAATCTTTTGTTTTGCGCTCATACACTATGCATGAATTACGTAACCAACACGTTTCTATTGGTTAGTTCCTCGGTACGGAGTAAACAACTATTGTGTTTTGTGCACGGTCAAGGCGAAAAAATCGAACAAAAACAAACATACAGTTAAGAACTTTGTCGGGTTTCATAACCAATCCCCTCTATTAACTGTGCTTTAAATCAACATTGTTAGATACAAACTGAAGGACCATTTTGTTTAGTAAATCTGCATACTAACCAGGTGGCCCATCAGGCAGGCACTTATCTCCGGTTTCTGTAGCATGAAGCAACTAGGAGTATTTCTACTTCCCCTGGATGGAATACTAGTCCATCGCAGGATTGCTCCCCAGCATTAAGTTTGCCGATACACATTTATACACCTGGGTGGAGAGAGAAACTGTGAGCGTAAAGTGTCTCGCCCAACAACACAACATAATGTTCCCGGACAGGAGTTGAACCCGGATGGTTCGATCCGTAGTCGAACGCACTAACCATGAGGCCACCGCGCCTCCACTTTCTCCTTCTTCAAGTCTAAGAGGGCTTTTAAAAAGAAGAAGAAGTACTCACTGTTCTGTCATCTTGAGCTTACAGCTTCAACAATTTTATTCATTTTCCAGCAACATTCTGTACATGATGTACGTGAATTATATTAAATTTATGATTTTTCAATAAATTAAAATTTCTCTTTTATCAATTCAAACAATTCTCGTTTTGTTTCAGTTTTAAGAATAAATTAGTTTGGCTGTAAAAACAGATCCTGATTAAGCAGGTTTTGTTGTCGAGCGCGCTCAATGGCGGACATCAACATACTCTGACACCTGACTTGAGAAAAGTCCATCTGATCATATGGCTGGAAAGAAGAAAAGAAAAATGAAGAAGATTTAGAGTGACATTTTAGTTATGTTGGCTTGCTTTACATCGAGACCAGTCTCTCTTGTGAGTTGACGTTTTGAGGGAGTAATCCAGTCTGATAGTAAATTTAATTAGCGCTGTTAATAGTTGTTTTATCTCAATAAACTGCGTTAGTTGACCTACCGTTAGAACCATGTGCAGCTTGTGAAGAAACAGCAACAACATGGCCACCCCAAAGAAATGCAGATCCCCTAACCCGGAACCTGAAAACAACAAAAACAATAGTGAGTGCTTTGCCACATAACTGACAAGAACACACGTTCAGTACAAGTCTAATACACCAAAGTCTGCCCTTCATAATTTTGCCTTTTCCGCTCGGTATCGTTTCCGAAAAACAGATAAAGCCAATATGTGAGAAAATAAACCGCGAACAATTGTACAACCCCTTCCATTGGCCTTTATTTAAAAATTGTTTTGTCAAGTTTATAAAGCAAAAACGAATCGATAATTATATCCAGCTTGTTTCTGTTATACACATTTTGCTTAACAGTATGACGTTTCTACAGACAGAACAGTTTGTTTACTGATAGCCATACAGAGGTTTTTACAATGTTATGTAAGGAAGCATTTTATACATACCAATCAAGTGCCTCCAGCAGGCAAATAACTGGGAGGTGAGTGACATGCGCAATGATGACCATGTACAGTTAAGTAACTGACTTGTCCAGTGCGACAGAATGGACAACGCTGTGGACACTGAAACAAACAAGTAACTATTATGAGGGGAGGTAAAGAAAGGTATTACGAGGGGAGGTAGGGAAAGGTGGCAAATGTTAAAGGTAGCCTGAAGCGACAACACTACATTGTTTTGCTCAAACTTGTCCTCGTGACGAGAAATTCCTAATACTTTTAACTGCCTCTTCCTGTACCAGAACTTCATCAACGCCTCTTGACAGCAGGATCCATAAGAGTACTTACGTTTTTGAGCACAGAGTAGGGGCGTGGCTCGTATAATGTATCGTATACCCCACTGTACGTTCAACAGAAACTTCCGCAGTGGGGTGGGCTCATTTTGCTCTATGAGCTCTGCCATGACACCAGCCAGCCTAGGGAGAAGTCACAAGGTTATCAACTTCGAAACAGTTTGGTTTGAAGGAGTGTCAACATGGAGCCTGACCTGCTTGACATCAGCACAAATTTGGTGTAGTGACTGATTCAAGGCCCATTACACGCGCATCAAACAAAACAGGTCCAAGACTTGAAGACGTTTACAGTGGAAGTTTAATATTTCATGTCATAGTTGAGTTACCCAACTCGATAATGATACGATTTAATGCTTGTAGAATTTCACAGTTAGGGATAACAATTTTTTAGAAATATAAAATACCAGTCTGTTGAACAACGGTTAAATTTGTTAGAATCCACGAAAAATGTCCGACTGTTATCAACCAATCAAAAGACGACACGACTTTTCACGATTACCGAGAAACATCTTGAACGAAAACTTCTGGCTCAGCCAGTTATGAAAATAACATCTACGACTGGCAATGGTGTTTGTTTCCAGCTCTTTTGGATAGCTTTTAAAGTATTTCCATGAATCTATTGTAACATGACGCGGATAATATATCTTACGCTTTAGTGGTCTTTTTGTCCTAATTGCAGTTATTATCATTATTATTATTATTATTATTATTATTATTATTATTATTATTATTAAAATAATACACATGAAAAAATTACTCTATTCTGATTGGCTAAGAGCAGTGCAGTTCAAGTGTGACACCAGTGCAAAAAGTGAAGCATCAGTGCAAAAAGTGTAACACCAGTGCAAATCATGTTTATATTATTAATAAGTAATCATACGGTTTTTCTCGTTCAATTTGGAGTTAATTTGCACTTGTAAGTTTTTCAAAAAACTCACTCGTGCAAATTAATTCCAAATTGAACTCGAAACCGTATGATTACCTATACTTATTATTATTATTATTATTATTATTATTACTATTATTATTACTATTATTATTATTATCATTGTTGTTGTTGTTTTTGTTGTTGTCGTCGTTGTTAGGGTTGTTCTTGATTAATTGTTATTCTCCTATCAAAGTTTACAGAGATGGTTTTATTCTACGTTTGAAAGAGCTACTTTTTCCTTACCTTCCTGCAAATTCCACCCCTAGTCTGGGGTCTTTGCTGTTGTTAAAACCCTGTACCAGCAGGCGAGCAAACACACGACCTTGCCTGTAAATCAGAGGCAGAGTAGAACAACTATGTCGTAAATAAAATGGCAAAAAGTAAACAAGCTATAGCTAAACGTTTCTAAACTGAACGAGAAGTGATTCGTCGGAAGACGTGCATATACTTGCACATGTACACACATGCACATGTACACCAGTTGATGTTAGAGCGTTAGCTCTTTCGCAGCGGAGTAACTCAATCTGAACAGGCAGGTCTAGCACAATAACTCTTGAACTCTAAGTTGAAGTCAAAACAAGCACAACAAGCGAATAATGATATTAATATAAAGGCCAACAGCAATAGCTCAGATTTGCAATGCTATAGCTACCAATTCAGTTTGTCCTTATCAACTCATATTTCCTTCAGTTAAAAAGTGGATCATTGGATAATGCGATTCAGTCGAGACTTTTCATTGCCTTAGCCATAATGGTGTATGAGCGATTACACTATGCTGAACAAATATGGTAAGCGTACGCGAAATGTTTGTGGGGACGTTTTTATCCTTACTATATTTTAGTTCTCTATATTCTGGGGGCGTTTTTAACAAAACAATTATTCCACCCGCTCTTGTTCGGTATGAGGTAATTATAGCCAACTCGTCGCTGCGCCCCTCGTTGGCCATCTATCGTCTTATATCCAACACAAACTTGTAGAATAATTGCTAACTATCCATTTTAGTGAGCAATGTCCCTGTATGGAGTCTATGGAAGCCTTGCAGTATTTGGCGAGTCCCGAGGAAAGCCGAGTCAATGTACACAAGACAAGTTAAAATATCTGAGCACATTTTCGCGCCAAATGAAGGCTATTGTTTAGATATGTATTGTCTTCTGAAAATCATTTTACAGTCTGACAAAAACGATGTTTCTTCGTAATTTATTAACTGCCAGATCGTCTTGATTTCCGTGCATCGTTGTTTGCTCATGATATGTGGAATTGAAATTTTACCTGCTAAACGGGAAATTACGAAAAAGAAGCGGTTTTTTAGAACATTTAACGATAAAAAATTGCGTTAAAACGTTTCGTAAAAGCACGTTAAAAGTTTATTGACGACGTTTCAACGTTTGGCTAACGTCATTATCAAGTCAACGAGTGAATGACAAGAAATGTTTAAATACTAAAAAGACAATAGGTGATGGAATGTTCTTTTAAACAAGGAGTTTTGCGCGAATGCAATCAGTCTGCGTGTTGAGAATAGGATTTCGATCCTTGATGAAAAGCATCTCGTAGACAAGACAATCAAATTTTCCTTGGCACTTTTTTAGAATGCGGAATTGGCTTTCTTTGAGGAGGCTTGTATCCCCATGGGCTGTCGAAAAGTGTTTACCGATCGCAGAGTTTTTCTGTTCAACAATACGTTGGTGAAGGTGTCTAGCTGTAAAGCCGACATAATCTGAACCACACAGATCACATGTAAAAGAGTAAACAACGCATTATTGATTTACGATTGGACAGTTGATTTCTCTGGGCTTGAGGTCTTGGTCCAATTTTCTGGTGATAAATACGGTTTGTAGTTTAGTACCAATCTTGTGACTGAGATCACGCATTTGCCTTTTAACTGCGTTAGCTGATGTTGATCTTTGAAGGGCAAACCCATTCGCACAACGCTGCTGTCTTCCTTGTTTTTCTCTCTCGTGCCAAATGAAAAGCTCTGAATGGTTTTGGTAATGGTAGAATTAATCATTGCCAAGCCAAACGTCGAAACGTCGTCAACAAAGTTTTAACATGCTTTTACGAAATGTTTTATCACAATTTTTTATTGTTAAAGGAAATTACATTCTGGCAAACAAATGAATTTTAAGGAAAACTTCTTTTCATTTCAGTGTTTTCTGTCAAATATCTATAGAAAATTGGCGTCTTGAAGGCATATTCGGGATTGGACTGGAGATATATCAGAGGAAATGTTTTACCAATCTTTGATCTCGAAGCAATAAGCGTGAAACGTGAACCAAATCGTTTTTTATTACCTTAAAATATGGAAGCATAGGTGTATTATGAAAACACCAGTCTGATTAGTTTTACAGGATGTAGGTCAGTTGAAAGTTGATGCTCCGGTCAACCCAACCCAGTTACCTCAAAGAGGAAAACAGTCTTCCACTAATTAATCTAAAGAAGAGATTAGACAATTCATAAAACTTCAACACAACACTGGCTATGTTGTCAGGGTGAATCGGGTGAATCCAAGTCTTCAACTGATGCCTCTTTTCCACTTAATATTTTCTTTGTTTAATACAAAACATGTAAGAAAGCACTTTTCCCGAACTATAGGATTATACACAGGGTTCCTTGTTTTCAGTTCAAATTAGGTAAGAAAAGAATAAAAAGGTAACTCTCTTACATTTCGCGACATTTGTCGATCTGTGCAGGTGGAACTAAATCAATTTGATTTATGCTAATTCAGTAGGAGACAAACACCGTGTAAAGCAAATATTGTCTGCTGAAAAACCATTTTAAAGTCTTTCATAAATGTCACTTTAATTCCTGCACGTAATTTATTAACTGTCAGATCTTGTCGAGCAACACGTATATTGATGCTAGGGAAGCAATAGAAAATGTCACCTGTTAACTGAAATTACCTTTAAGGCAAGACGTTTGCATCTCAAAAATTTTTTGTCAATTTTTTTTTTTTTTTTTTTTTGCCTTTTTTTGTGACGTGTTTGCTTTCTTATACAGTTGCCACAATTCGTGTCTGTAATGGGCTGTGCTGTTTGAATTGAGCATTGTCATAAATAAGGTAATAAGGTAACTGATATATTCTTGGCATATTCTTGCTTAACGTGGAACTATGTCACCAGGCTTTTACAGGAAAAAAAGGGTTTTTGTTAACTCTTTGTGGAGTCGAAACCACAACATGAAGCTTTATTTTAAAAAAAATAGTCACATATTTATTACCGTTAGGGGGGAGAAAAAGGTACAACGTGATAAAACATTGGGTTGAGCAGTTTAACAGCTTAGAACGTAAACACTATTTCTCTCTTGAAATTTCGTATATTTTATTTTTGCCATCCTTGTTACTTTATATCCTTTTATTGAGTTATTTTTTCACTTTTTCCTTTTGAGAATAACTTCACCGAATTTTGTATAAACTGAGTCATATTGCACGACATGGCCTTTCAATAGGAACTTTGTATTTGTTCACATTTGTGCTGAAATCCGTAGGCTGTCATTTCCTCGTTCAGTTGACATAAAATACTTTCCGGCTTACGTTTGACGCCAAAATATCAAAACGACAAAACGTGCTTTTCGAGATCATCTAGCAGTTATTTTGTTACCAGGAAAGTAACCTCTAAGAACTGACATAAATACAAAGAGAAGCGTAAAGAGCAAAAATGCCAACAAAGTACACGCCTGCTTTACAGCTTGATAAGGAACCAGCGTCAGAAATAACGTGACCAGCAATCCGATGGAAACCCTGTAGCTAGATGAATCTGAGCACCTGTTAAGCTCTTTTAAAAAGGTTTTCTATCGACAGTACCTCTCCCCACCCAAAGGATATAAATACATCAGTACTATTAAAAACCTGTCAAAAATGCTGTGAAGTAAGGCTGGCATTGCATCTAGGAGAGTAGCGAAATCATATTGCATTAATGCCATGTTAACTGTATTCTTTGTCCCATATTATGCTCCCGTATTTTTCGGGAGTTAGCCTGATTTCAGAAGTGTTGAAGTACACAATTAGAGAGGTGATAACGCCGTCCTGGAGGTTAAGAAATACATGTACCTAAATAACCGCAAGAAATCAACAATTTAAGTTGTTGAAGTTAAATAGAAACTAGGAAACTAGGAAATTTCTGATAAGCGTAGATTCAAAAAAAGATCATCTTGTTACAACATTCAAGCGCTTTATAAGACTAGGTCATTTAACCTTCTGCAAGAAATTTGCACCTCTCATGTTACACCTGAACTGCCCTGCAGTAGCTAATTTCCCCTTCTTTGTAATTTGCAAACTTATTAACATTCAGGCTCGCCTCCCACTTCAGGATAACCTTACATTTTCAGCCCTATACTCTTTATCGTTCCGTTTTTCTTATAGTCTATGTAAACCTGATTAAACCAAATACTAAAACCACCTTTTAACCTTTTCAGAATTACAGTCTTTGGCGTCAACTATCTTAAAATTTAGCAAGGTGTGCCTAGTCGATTCCATTAAAAATATTAAAAGCCGACTGATTTTTAATTTAATTTTTCGTTCTATCCAACAGCGCTGTTTGTTATTCAAAAAGGTCATTTATAACACAGATTAGAAGTTTGTTTCATTTTAAATGAAATCAACCGAGTCCTAACCACACATAACAGAACACTTTCCTTTGCAGTTCGAAAAACCATTTTTCGCTTCGAACCTCTTGCAGTACGTAATTAATCGAAATGAAAGACGGACGTTTAATATCCAACGTACAACTCTTTATCCGAAGCTTTCGAAAATAAACCAACACAGTCCATCAGTTTTAGGAGTTTGAAATTATTTCAAACGATACATATTAAAAACAGAAGAAGTAAACTATAGAATTGAATATCGACAAACCGGATATTGGACGAGGCTTCAGGTCTGAAGTAATTTTAAACTGGTCGTGACACACCTATCATTGAAATTCAGCCTTCTTGATTTCTTGTCAACATGTAAGTTATTCAGTTTTTTTTTCTTTTAACAGCAGAAGAACTTGGTGTTGTACACAGTCTGTCTATATATGTTAAGAACAGATTAAATAATCCGCATAACGCTCAAAGAGATTGGTAGTTTTTCAGAAGGGAATCTTGGCCAAAAACAGAAAGTCTTTTTTCATTCTTTTCTATTCGTACAAATTTCTAGATAAACCCTCCTTCGAAATTGCTCCGGGCGTACAAAACCCGACATTTAAAAATGTACTTTTATTGCAGTTAGTTGAACTGAACGTGTGCAATTGACACTTAAACCCTGCTAAAAGTTCAGGTCATTGAATTCAATTTTTCATCTTGACCAGTTCAAAATGGATATCACTGTTGCCTTATTCGTTGCGATATTACAAACCATTTGAAGACAGCGCCTGAGGATTATGATAATTTCGCTGGCTTTTAAACATAGTAATTCCTACGAGACCTTTTCAACCTCTGGGTGCATTTCATACCTGAAAATGTAGATAATATGACGGGAGGTCGTTGCTGCTCGGTGAATCCACGGGTTTGGCCCTGAAGAAGTTGACGATATTTCAGACGGGAAGGGTATGAGAGGATCCCAGCGGAAAGCGCGAAATTCATTGCCTGCCTTTGGAGAGTTGTCAGTCTCTTCGTTATAAAAACTCGTTGGTAACGGATCTTTCAGTTTTTCATGCCAATATTCAGAGAAATACTTGCTAGCGTGTGACTCTCTCTCGAACAGTTTATAATGAGTGGCGATTTTTTTCACATAGCGATCTTTTTCTTCCACGTTCGCCGTGCTTTGCCAGAATGCATGCCCACACTGTAAGCCGTCAAAACGCCTGAAATTTTCGTCCCTTGTCTTGAAAAAGTGTAAACACTCGGTCTTGTTGTTTGACCAGCGCCGAGCTTTCAGCTGTAGTCCTTGACCAAGCGGAAAATACATCGTGGAGAGAAAAATATCGGCTAGCGAAGGGGCGCGAACATCGACGAATATTATCATCGCCGACATAGTGAGAGTTACCGCCAGCGAAACACAGACTATAACAAGCCGTAAGCTTGGCATGGGCCATGAAGAAGTCGCAGACGGCTTCGGCTTAGGAGTAGATGATGCGGTGCTGTTTTTCTTGGCTATCATTGTGTTTCCCTCTTCGATGCTAAGTTCATTACAGGTCGGCTTCGCTTGTCCTCAACAAAATAGTCTGGTCTCTTTGAAATAAGCTGGCGCGGACCTCGAACGAACAGATACAGATTATCAGTCACTCGCGGACGGCTAAACTCTTACAGGTATGTAAGGCAAGTCAAAACAAACGCTATTTTTCACAATATTTTTTTCCGCGTTTCCGATAAAATATAGTTTTTGAACCAGATCAGATGGAGGTGATCGGAATCCACTACGGCACCGATCGATGAGTGGTTTTCTCGTCGATTTCAGTCCGCTTTCTTTCTTACTTTTGTTCGATATTTTTATTAACATGCATAAATTACTCTCGCATCAAAGCTGCATATTATTCTGTGGAGAGCAGCGCCCATGTGATTGGTGGAAAGGTGCTAATAATCAGAAAATAAACAACACCCGTTCAATGAATGGATCGCGGACCGAGAGCACAATAAAATTAATTTATGAAGCTCGAAACAGCTGTTTCGCGGGTAAATAATTTAAAAACACTGACTTTGAAAGAAAATGCTCGTGGCTTATACCAGATGATTTCGACCGTTTTGATTGTTAAGGTTTATTCACAGTTAATAGATTTCTAATGAGTGTTTCCCAAACATTAAAGAAAAGTTCCAGACTAGAATTTTAAAAACGCGTTAGAAAGGAGTTGAGCACGTAAATATACAGTCACATTGGTTTTAAGATTAAGACGTTAGCAATATTGAGAATTTCCCAGAATTGGCAGAAGATTGAAATTTGAAATATTTAATTTACAAGAGGATAAATAACAGGAACTTAAGAAAACAACAATATATTACAATAGTGATGAAAAAGATCACAATTTAAATAGTGAAAGGAAAAGGTCCGTTATTCAGTTTAATCTCCAGATCCTACCATCTCTTAATTATAGCCAAGACAAAGTTGTTTTGAGAACATTTAGAGCTTGGAGAGAATTGGAAAAATACGAAATTATGTCCTGTAGTTCCTTGTCAAGCCTATATACATTTATGTCATCCACACATCAATTTCCATTTTCCGCCGTTGCCTTCTTTTAGCTAGTTTAGTGATTTAAGGCCGGGTCCCGTTATTAACCGAGCGCATCATTAGAAAAACTAAGCGAGGAAATTACAAAACAACACTACACGAAATTGCACCTGTGATTCTATTGAAACTACTCCCGCAGAAATTCAGAGGAAACTCAAAACTATCTCGCAGCTGGTCTACAAGGAAAATTTCCATCATTTTTTTGTTTTTCATTGCTTTCTTACATCACTAATGAAAACGATTTGACAGTGACGGAGCGGAAGAAAACCAGATAAGACGTGACGTGCATGTACTTTTATGGCTTCGCTTTTCTCATATTGTGCAATATTTTGTAGGAAATAGTTTAAAAGTTAACTTTTTATCACCTCGATAATATGAAAGCTAGTACGTTCTACTGTGGAAAACTAACGCTAGAAATAAGTCATTTATTACCATCTTGTTTACCACAGCCTTCCAGAAATAGAACAACAAGCCGTTAAAATGCTTGGAAACGTATGTACGTACATGGAAACACCGGCAGATACCTGTCATAACACTTAACCTTAAATAAGCGAAAGCAACCATTACATTTGTTAACTAACGTGATTCAGCCAAAAACTGGTGACAGCATATGTTATAATCTCTGAAACTTAGTTTCTAACTCGAGGTATTGTTAGAAAAAAATCGTTTGACATTCCTCACGCATTGATGATTTGATCTCCATTTATGATAAGTGTTAGTTAGGGAAATACGTTCAATGACCTCTTGCTATTTTGCGGCGCAATTAATGATTTGACTTCATGCGACAAGGTAATAGCTGAGATAAATGTACTGATAGATAGTTCGTAAGCAATATTTGAACGTGTAAAATTTTCAGAAGATAGAATCTGCGATACGGTATATTCATATTTTTATACCTAAAAAAGAAGAATTAAAAGTTACAACATTACTAGAAACTATTAAACCAAAATAACCATTTAAGAATAGACATGTTGGACAGCTTGCTATAGGACTGAAAAAGATAAATTGATCATGTATGTTCGTATTATTTCACGAGCGCGCGTTGGAAATGAGATTGTAGACAGTCAACGAGGCGCCAATTTGGCTATAACCATCTCATATCCAAAGAGTACCCCTGGAATGATTGCTTCACTGAAAACGCCCAAAAAATATAGAAAACTCAAATAAAATAAACATAAAAACGATCCAAAAAATTACGCGTATGTTTACCATATTTGTAGAGCATGGTATAATGGCTCATAACCCATGATGGCTAAGCCAATGAAAACTCTTGAANCAAAGCGTCACGCTCGATTGCGCCAATGTCGCTACTCGAGGACTATTACTAATAGTCCTCTACTAGCGTAGCCAATTAAAATGCAGGATTTGCATTAGTCCACTAGTTGGGTGATACTAAGGTAAATTATTATATAACTAATACAATATATTAAAAATAGTTCTCACAACGACGGTCCTGTTGTTGACTGAACATGTTGGGATTTCCTTTTACGCTGCTGAATAAATATAAACAGTAAGGATTGAGTTTAGCGTTTTGTTTGTCCATGCAAAATATGGAGTGAGTCGTGTAAGAACGGACTTGCATGTACAGGGGTTTTTCAGACAGTTTAGCCCATGCTTGGAGACCCCGGGCGCGCATAAATGGAAAGAAGGCAAAATTTTAAGTATTAATATTTCTCACGGAAGTATGTAAAATATAGCCACTAATGAGCTTGCAAGGTTAGTAAATCTTGATATAAATGTAAACCAAACTGACTAAATAGTTTGAAATTTCTACATCACAGCTGTTAAAATTTTCAGGTACTAGAGCAGTTTTAAGGTTTTACCCCCCAAACCTAATGGCCTCAGTACAATTGGGGGGTGGGCACCATCTCTTACCAACTAAGTGTGATTAATTGTTAGCTAGAAATACACGTCAGTTGGATGAAGGCGTCTACCAAATTAACCGAGAGTCCTAAAACATGAAGTGACCGCGACTATAGCGAACTGCTAAACTGGATGAACTCATTGAGTTTACATCCTTCTCTCCCGAGAGCGTGGAACTGGAATACTGTGTCTATACATCGGAAATTGTCACTCTTATCTTCTTCACCAGAAGTTGGTATTAATTATATCTTCTGTCCGATAATTCAGAAGAGAGTGCAAACAAAATAACCAAACATTTGACGCCGAAAACTTTCCTATATTTCTATCGAGTTCTAAAAATACGATTTTTAACCAATCAGTAGGTACATTTTCTTGGGCTACTTCTATCCCATTGCCGTGCATAAATTTGGAGTTAAAAGTGTAGTTATGATGTGTACCAATCAATTCCACTAAAGATCCGTTATAAGTATTACTTTAGAAAGAGCCAAGAAGTTGTATCGAAGGAGCAAATTACTTTAGAGATTTGGTTTTCAATGAAAGCACTAAGATTAGAAAAGAAAGTGTTTTCCTTTAGCTTTATTTCCAGCAGGCTAATGCTTCGTATTCTACAAGTACAGAGTCACCTACTGTCACTCTTTAGTGCAAAGCAAAAGGTAAAACCTTTTTAATGGATATTTTGCTTACCTTTCTTAATTCCCACCTCTTTCCACCATCATTAGTTCGACCAGAATTCCTCATAAGATAGTTCAGCATCACACATTTCGTCCGGTGGGTTTGTATTGCATCTTATCCTGTGTATAACACAGCGAATGATAAGTGACGTAAGCATGAATTAGACTTAGTAAAAAACTGCTCTATTGTATTGTATTGTAATTCTATCGTGGAGCTACCATGGCGAAAGTATCGGAAAGAACAAAAGTAAGACCCGTCAAATTTTCTCTACCCATCAAGTCCTATTCCCACGTCTTGTTCGTGATATTAAGGTGGTATCTTCCCTATCGCATTTGTATAGCTTCAGTGACGTTGAAAACAATCGGGTACCTGTAACGACCATCTGATCTCCTTGTGAATTCCCACAGAGCAGGATCCTCGTGTTCAATAGTTACAAAATGCCTTCCTATGAACGCTGTCCAAGTCAACAAGGCATCACATAGATCGTCATCGGCACAGTTGTACCGGCTGAAAATACTGAACAAGTTCTTTCCGTGAGGCACAAGTTTCCAGTAAAAGTTTCCTCCAACCATAAGGAAGGCCCCTTGGTCTTTTTCACTTATAACAGGTGCATCCTTCTTGTATCCGAGTCTTCTTTTTGTGT